CAACGGCAGCACCCCCACCGAGGAGACACCCAAGGAGGGTGGTGACAAGCCGGAGGAAGCTGAGAAGGAGCCCGAGGCCGCCGCTGCCGCCACTAACGGCGAGGCTGCTGCTAAACCCGAGGAAACCACCGAGGACGGCAAGCAGAAGAAGAAACGCTTCTCCTTCAAGAAGCCTTCCTTCAAGCTGAGCGGGTTCTCCTTCAAGAAGACCAAGAAGGAGTCCGAAGAGGAGGAGAAGGTAGAGGAAGAGAACGCGGAAGTCGAGAAGGCGCCAGCACAGGAGGAAGGGGCGGCGGCAGCAGCAGCAACGGTGGAGGAGGAGAAGGCCGAAGAGGAGAAGGCGCCGGCAAAGGAGGAGGCCAAGGAAGCGGCCACACCTGAGGAGCCCAAAGCCGACGAGGTGGCCAAGGAGGAGAAACCAGCTGAAGCTTCTTCACCAGCTGAACCCGAGGCCGCCGTAACCCCCAGTCCAGAGGCCCCCGCTGAATAATTCTACTGAAGAACACACCGAAATGAAGGAGGCCCATGGAGCCCATCTGAAAGAATGCGAGGACTTGTCTGAAACCAGGGATTTTGTTTTTCTTTATAATTGTTTGTCTGTTTTTTTTTTTTTTTTAACATCTCATCCATCATGACTGCAATGTAGGTTGTGGGAGGATCTTCCCTGGCCCTGTGCTTGCATTCGTGGGTGAACGTGCGACTGTGAGCTTGAATTTTTTTTTTTTTTCTACATCATGCTGACATATTTAATTCAAGTATTTGGTGCTGGGCTAATTGGATGTAGCAGCTACAGCTGTGCAAGTCTTGTGCAGCGAAACTAACAAAGAAACAAAGAAAAAAAGGGAAGACAGCCCTTAGCCGAGTCTTAAAACAAAGCAAAACATCGTCGTATTTCAGCTATCGCGTGGACCACAAGCATTCCCTTCTCCGTGGAACTAGATTTAGCAACCAAACAATCTTAACAATAACATAGGTGCTCATCACTTCTTCTGCCGTTTTAGAGTCTGCCATTTCCAAACCGTAGTAATGCACGTTGTATAGACTTTGATATTGCTGGTTTTATGACTGAAATGTACCTAAATGACATTTTTAACCCATTGTAAATGACTGTTTTCTTGTTGGTTTTTTTTTTTCCCACCATTTGTAAGACTGAATAAAACTGCGAAATGTTTTAAGCAAAAACAAAACAAACAAAAAAAAACTGACCAAGCTGTGATGATTATATAACACTTCATCTCTAGACTAGTACATTTTAGGTAGGACATATTTTTTTTTCCTTCTTCTTTTGTACATAAGGATTGAATGTAACATTGGCTACAACATGGTATTTAGGTGTTGACTTTCTGTGAGCACTGAATAATAAAGGAAAGTGAGAATTGGCGCTCTCTGTTCATTTTCGTTTTTGAGGTCCCTTAAATCCAGCCATCCAGTTTGTCTTCGCTACAGTGTTGCAGCTGCTAAATGTGAGTCAGCTCCATCCAATGTTGTAGGGCAGTGGTCCCCAGGCCGCGAACCGGTAGCGGTCCGTGGGTCATTTGGAAACGGGACGCACAGAAAGAAAAAATAACTTCCGTTTTTTTATTTTGAATCTGGTGAGGTCCCTTAAATCCAGCCATCCAGTTTGTCTTCACTACAGTGTTGCAGCTGCTAAATGTGAGTCAGCTGCATCCTATGTTGTAGGGCAGTGGGGTCCCCAAGCCACAGGCCGCGAACCAGTAGCGGTCCGTGGGTCATTTGGAACCGGGACGCACAGAAAGAAAAAATAACTTGCATTTTTTTATTTTGAATCTGAAATGTGTTTTATTTTGAAAAATGACCGGATTCTCTGCTACATCCGTTTACAGTACGTCACTCTTGGCGCGTTCACCGTCACGTGATAGGTTACCGCTAAAATGAGGAGCTAGCAAAATGAGTAAAAAAAAAAGACCATACGTCTTTGGGAAGGGGAAAAGGCCCAGCCGGGAGACAGAAGAGGAGCCTACAACTTTCAAGTAAAAGAAGGCTACATTTAATAGAGAGTATCAGGAGTCCCAACTTAAAATATGGATTTATCTCAACGGTAGATTCCTACGCACCAAGCCCACTCTGCACATTACAGCGATGGCGAGTCGTATTTTTCAAGCACTTTTTATTTGCGGCGTATCTTATTTTGAAGGCAGGTTTAAATGTTACCATAGCGGCCAGAGTGTTGCGGCCAGATAGGACGTGCCTCGTGTCATGATTCGTGTTTATTATGTTTCGAAAATTACCACAATTTTCACGCAAGTCATATCATATTATTTTGTTGTATTTATGCGTCACACCTTAAAGGCCGGTCCCTGAAAATATTGTCTGACATTGAACCGGTTCGTGGGGGAAAAAAGGATGGGGACCGCTGTTGTAGGGGACATATAAACCAATGAAAATTCACATTCACAGACAATTTAATCTTCTGTTGATCTTATGTGTCACAGAGAAAACCATTCAAATACCACATGATGTTCGAGATTCAAACCCAGAACCACAACTCTTGAGGCAGATGTGCTAACCACTATCCCTTCACTGACAAACTCTTAAATAGATTCATTAATAGGATCATTTCCTATTTAGTGGCTAAGTGCAAAAATGAGCTTGTGGTCAAAGCATGTTGTTTTATCACAGTCAAACTAAAGTGTAGAAATTATACTCTCAAGTTGTGTTTCTCATCTAGAGGAGAAAAAACCCGGGCAACATGAAATGACATCATCAAGCTACAATTGCTCTAACTGTGGGCACACTTATGGTTAGCCCACTTTCTATTTTTCATTTTATTTGATTTTATTTTTCAGCCACGATGCAGTGTCACTCGAGCCAAAAGAACCCTACTACTCATCAGCAAAATACTTTTTGGTGTTGAAGTTTTGCTTTCTTTTTAAAAAAGTTTGTACATGACCTGCAGTTAGCATTGCGGGTAACAGCATTTTTGAGCAAAAACTCGAAACTCAACTTCATTGGCATTGATTTGCAACCCTTTTGTTAGACCTTGGTTCCTTTGACGGTTTGTGTATTTATTGCTTAAAGTATGATTATACATGTTGACATTTTTCATGCAGCAAGACGAACACAATTATGCAGACGCATTCCGCAATAGTCGACTCACTTAGAGAACCAAGCAATAGTTTTGGCTGTCATAAATTACAGCGTTTGTGCGCAAATATTTGTTTACAGTGCCTGAGGTTGCTCTCGGCACTGTCATATCGGTATTGTGTTTGCGTGACATGAATAAATACAAATAAACACCTCCACCATATAATGTGTTTTTGAAAATTGCAGGAAACGCATCCGACATGTTTATATCCACCCACAGCTACGTGCCTATGTTCCCTGAGCACCAGCCACTTCCTTCGCTTCAGGCTGTGTGACGGCCACAAAAAGCTGGCCGTGCTTTACACATCATATTTCTGCTTATGCCGCTTTTGGCTACACGTGTGGCCATCTTGCTTGTGTTACCGCTAAGCTCGACGCTTCGGCTGCCCCACACATGCAGACGCGTAGCTTTCCAGCAAACCATTCAGAAAACATGTTCACCAGCCTAGAATGATTATGCCGACCCGAGTAAAATGTTTAAAACCTTTCTTGAACACCTGTTTTACATCCAAAAACTCAATAAAAATGCATTGTATTGCCATACAAGGGCCATGATGTCAGAGTTTTTCAAGATACAAGTTGTTGCTTGGCCAATTTTTGCCTTGAGATATTGTACAAGCAAAAATCTGAAACATGAGAGCGTTTCGGAAACCTACCACTAGAGGGCGACAGAAAACTTTACAACATTAGTCCACGATCAATACAAATTGATTTCATTGCAGTGGAAGGCAAAATAAACCTCACAGAAGTAGAACAAGGAAGGACAAAATGTTAGATCCAGTTACACTTTTTGCTTGTATTACAGGTTATGATTTTGTGTTTCATACGAGGTTTTTTTTTTTTTTTGGGTGGGGCTGGAACCGATTCATTGCATTCCCATTCATTTTAATGGTGAAAGATGAGACTTGAGAAGTGTTTTGAGATACAAGCGTGGTCACTGAATGAACTAAACTCATATCTCAAAGGCACCACCAGACTAAAATTAAATTAGTATTCGAATAAAATTTAACTCCCCTTACCATGCCCCCTCCCAAAAAAAACCCCAAACCAAAACAAAATATAAAAAAAAGTTTCGCGTTAAGCTAGCAGAGTTTTGTAAGGCAAAGTTATGTGGTTTGGTTAAATATACAGTACAAGGTGGAAATATACATCCTTAATGGTTGCCATGGTATGCTGCTGATCTCAGTCAGGAAAAGTGGAGTTGAATTCATTTGAAACAGTGCTGTCCTTTCCCGTACTTGCAATGGAAGCAGCTTCTCATTTTTTTAGTGGAGTTGAATTCATTTGAAACAGTGCTGTCCTTGCAATGGAAGCAGCTTCTCATTTTTGCTTGACCCTCTGACATATCCCAACAAAGTTTAAGGAAAAGTGGCATAACGTTTCGGAAACAGTTTTTTTAAGATGCAATGGTATCTCGCGCCCCACAAATGGTTTGGCCCCATCACCCTCCAATAAACCAGGAAGTAGCCTGTTGGTAACACTTTTGGT